AAAACCTCAATCCACTTTGTCTATTATATTTATACATTTTTTTTTCCAAAGTAGCCCTTCTAATAATAAGAGTTCTAGTCAATATATTTGATTAGCAAGGATATTTTAGGAAAGACAACACTTATTTAGGACAAATAACTACCTCAACTTACTTCCTTAATCTCCTCAAATTAGTTAACTGGCTCGTATAATTAGGACTGGAGGTAGTATAAGATTTAATTTGCAGTGCAAATTGCATTACACTACAAATTGAATCTTATCTTCACACTACAACAAAGTGATTTTATATTTAGGACCGGAGGTAGTATGTGTTTTCTAAAATTTATTAAATGATTAAAATATGAGGGATTGTGCTAATGAGCTAAATTTCAAAGACAAAGTTATTAAGAAAAAAATTAGAGAGAAGGACCTGGAGGAAATAATATTTATTACAATCCATAAAAAAATATTTATTATAGAAAATCATGAAAATTGTAATTATTAAGAAGGAACAAATATCAAAATATAAATTTAAAAATATTAAGTTACTCCTAACCACACCTCCTAATAAATATTGAGAGATTGCTTCAATGCTAAACAACAATGGCTCTCGATAATTCTCGCTACAACGTGTAGATTGGGCAAAGAATTCACAAAAGAAGTTTCTTGGCCTATTCTCTTTGAATATATTTGCTGGGACATTTGGTTATCTAGGTGCAAAAAGCTCTTTCAAGAAGAGTATCCTCACAAGCATAAGAATGGGCATGCCATCCTGTTCTGTGCTTAATAGGACCATTGTTTAAGATCTCATAGCCAATTGTAAGTTCTATATGGGCAGGAATCGGACGAATTTCCCAATACGATATAGGTTTTGTCAAGCTACAAACTGATGCTTTGGTTCTTTGCTTTAGCTAAAGTGGTTGTGAAGGTGCTATTTTCGGGAGGATGGATGCTGGATTTCAAGATATAACTGCAAACTTACTGCAATCCTATCAGCTAAAGCTGAAACAATAGGAATTATCCATGGTTTGCATCTACGCTGGAATAAGGGACTCAACTAATTGCATCGAGACAGTTAATATGATCTTGTGAGGATGTGGCATAAATCACCCTTACAAGGATATTGTAGATGAATTCAGACTCTTTATTTCACAGAAATTGGTAGATAGTTATCAAACATGTTTTTAGGGAGAGTAACACCAGGACAGATCAATTTGCAAAACTTGCTCATAATCTTAGAATTTTTGAATCTTTGAACAACCACCTCCCATTTGTAAGAGAAGGTTATTGTTTAAAGAGCCTATATTGTTTTTCTTTATTTTCTTTTAGTGTTTTCTTAGCTAATGTTTGTCTTCTTCATCAATTGTAATTACTTGTGAAGTAACATTATTCAGTCGTTCTTCAAAAAGGTTGCTCCCATTTCCCCTCTATATTTTGTTGTTAAGACTAAAATAAATTTCTAAATTGTACTAAATTAAATTGAATTTCTCTCAAATTTTACAACTTGCAATGATGCAAACTTAGAGGGCAATTATGCAGCAATTTGGGTTATAGTCTTGCATGTTTAAGCTCAAAAAGCATTATTTAAAGACCAATAAAGCTAGAATATGTTTATTTTTGTTTAAGTCATTAATTTTTTTTATTTTGTAATTTTTGATTTTTAAATAAAGCCACTAACTAGTGTTTATATGCAATTTAATCATTAATGGCATATTAAGATTATTTATTATTATGTGATTAATCTTCTAGTTAAAAGCCTATGATATCATCTCATGTCAATTAGACTGTCTTTTATCATCTGATTTTATATCTTTGTAAATTATATCATTGTAGATATCTCTAGTAAAAGAATACAAGAACATTGTTCAGTTATGATAATTAGACCCAAACTTTGATGGAAAATTTCGCACATGCTAATCTAAAACATTTGTTTCATCACTAAATATAAGTATTGTGCTCCCCCAAAATATAAACACACACAAGTCCTGTGTCCAAGATTTAAGTCACATATATTAGGCAACAGATTATGAGGATGACAAATAACGAATTGGCAATTTTGTGCCTATCAACTAGAAAGATTAAAAAAAAGTGATATAAATCCTTAATTTTTGATATATACTACCTCCGGTCCTAATTATAAGACCCAGTTGACTTATTTGAAGAGATTAAGGAAGCAAGTTAAGTTAGTTATTTGTAATAAATAAGTGTTGTCATTCCTAAAATATCTTTGCTAATTAAGTACTCCTCCGGTCCTTAATATAAGACCCATTTAACTAATTTGATTAGATTAAGGAAGTTAGGTAAGTTAGTTAATTATAAAAAATGTGACACGTTTTTCCTAAAACACCATAATCATCTTTTTTAATCCCAATCTCTCTCTTCTACTTGATTATGATTGAGGAAGTATCCATAGGGGTAATTTAGAGAAAATTGATAAATATGATAAATGGGTTTTATACTTAGGACCAAAACCAACTTAACAATTGGGTCCTATATTAAGGACCGGAGGAATATATTGGCTAGAACTATCATTATTAGAAGGATTATCCTGGAAAAAAATGCATAAATATGAGAGACAAAATGGATTGGGGTCTTATAATTAGAACCAAACAAAAAGTCAAATGGGGTCTTATAATAAGGACCGGAGGTAGTAGTATTTTTCAAATAATTCATTTCCCATAAAAGAAATTTAAATCAGGCTTGTTTATCAGGTCAAAAAAAAAAAAATCAGGCTTGTTTAGGTAGGCAAGGATGAGTTTAAGATAATGATTTAAAAGATTGATGGTTCAAGTCGATGGATGTCAACTTGGAGTAAGACCGATACGCATAATTAAAATAATATTTAAATAAAAAGCTATTAATCTACACATTTATGTATAAACCATAAAACCAATCACGCATAATTAAAATAATATTTAAACCATAAATAATACGTAATAAAATTATTAAAACACAAATATGATATGCTGGTATTTTTTCTTAATTTTTAAACCTAAAATAATATTATTTTAGAATCAATGAAGAACAAAAAATATATAAAATCCAATTCAGTTGGCTCCTCTAAAACTGTTAAATAAGTTGGCTGGGCTGGTTCACTAGTTTACTGGTATGATTAGTCAATCCGAACAAGGTTTTAATACCATGTTAAAAACATTTAAATTTATATAAAAAATTATTATTCAACTACCTCTATTATTATCCCTATAAATTTTAATTACTGGAGTTAATTTCAAGCTGCATTACTTAATCTATTTATGGTTAAATGAATGAATTATCTATTTAATAAATTTTTTTACTAATTTTAAGAAATAAAAGCTTAAAAAAAGACTTTGCTGGCAAAAGGCAAAAAACTTAAAAAGAACTAACAAAAAGCCCAAAAAAAGCCGAAAAGAACCAATTTTTCTTCGTTTGGACCATAATTAATTAATTATGGTTATGACAAGTTTTAGCCGCCGATAGACTAGGAGGTCGGCAACTGCGGGCCGGTAAACGGGAGGGATGACAGCGGCGAAAGTTTTATCTTTTAACTTCCGATTTTTTGTCTTTAAGATGCTCATTTCCCAGATGGAAATTTTTAAAGTTACACATCATGGTCGTTGACTCGTTGTGTTATTTTCATTCAAATTAATCAAAACCCAAGTTCTATTTCTCAACGGTTTCCATATTTTTCTTACAATTTTAACGTCTCTTTCCGGTGTATGGGTCCTCTGAGAAATTGGCACATTGATTTTGACGTAAATGAAGTTACGTATCTTCCGACAAGTGCTATTTTAGATTAGAAGTGTCATTATATGAAGAGGCTTTAGTTGATTGCATTTTCTGTGGGTAAGTATTTGCCCCGAATCCTAATCTTGTTTCTCTGTTCGCATCTACTGATTATATTGTTGTTTGTGTCTGAAATTTCTCTTTTCTCTTCTTCCCCCTATATGGGACTCTGTTTTGCTTCTGAATAAGAATTTTCATTGGCGACTGGTGGTGATACGGCTCATTTTCTGCAACGAAGAATGCTTGTCCTTTTCTTGCATTTTGGAAATTGTATTGCGGAAGATTTTTTTCCGTGGGTTTTGTTTTAATGGGCGTCGGAGCTAGGAATTCTGTTTTCAAAGTCTTCTATGTTTGTATCTGGTCTGAAATGTTATTGAACAAAGGGAACGACTTGGTGTTATTCAGGAAGTAAGAGTCTCTAGCCGATTTCCTAGGGTGGCTAACCTTATAATCACTTTTCAGAAATACTTTTTCGCAAATCGAAACACATTCCTCTATATATATTTACTTCATATACCTGAAAAACACTTTTAAAGCCATAATTTTGTTCTTATCCAAACACTCTTATAAATTATAATGATTAAAACTTTTACCCAAATAATTTTCGATTGCTCTATCTTTTCTTGTTCTGAGTCAATATTCTGCGTTCCATGTCCTATTCGTTGAAATTTTGAAATGTGTTCATTGATGTACTTGTATTTTCCTTTCTTTGAAATTTCTCTTAATTATTTGCCATTTGGATTTTAGGATTATTTTCCCCCTAGGACAGTTATGTGACTACGTATTCTAGCTTCAGCTACCGCATATTCTTTTTTTCATTTGTACGTGATTTATATATAAGCAGACCCTTATCTCATTTTAATTCATTTATTTATTTTGGCCTTCTGTGTCACGGATTACGTCCTGAATGGAACTGTGATGAGCACAGTGCCCCATAGAATGTACATTTCACTGTTCTTTGTGTTCACGGCATAAGGAGAGTTCATTATGAGATGAACACCGCGCCATAAAACTAGATCTGTTTTTGTTTGCTTGTTCAGTAAATTTTGGTTATTACATTCATCGCCTTCAACGTTTTATTCTGCTTACTTTTATGGGCGTTATTACTAAACACTAGTTAAAATCAGTCTCACCATGCTGTTATTATTTATAAAATAAATAAGTAATAATATCTCTTCACCCCTTTGGCTAACATGTACTTGGGCGCTAAAGTTTTTTTTTTTTTTTTTTTGACCAAACAGCTAAAGTAGTTGAGATTATTTAGCACCAAGAAGTGAATGATGGATGCTGCCGAGGTTGAAGAAAATCTGTTTGCAGCAAGTGATGCCAAGGTATGATGATACATTCTTCTTTTTGTTTTGGTTTTTTGAGCCATTGTTTCACAAGTTGCAGCTAGTTTCTTTCCTGTTCATGTCCAATAATGTAGTCTAAACAATGTAAATTTGGTTTATCACACAGTTACATGGAGAAATGTGCAAAGCTCTTTCTATACTGTATTGCAAAGTATTGTCAATATTTCCATCTTTAGAAGCAGCTAGGCCTAGGAGCAAAGCTGGTATTGAGGCTTTATGTTCATTACACGTAGCCCTAGAGAAGGCCAAGAATCTTCTTCAGCACTGTTCAGAGTGTAGTAAACTTTACTTGGTATGAGTTCATGCCTTTATTTATTCCCTTATGCCTATGACAATAAATAGTGGGTTTAAATCGAATGGGTTTTTAACTGTGGCTTGATGAAGTCACTTTTTCTGAAATGCGTTATTATACTTATGCAGGCTATAACTGCGGATGCCGTTCTTCTAAAATTTGAAAAGTCTAAATCTGCTATTAAAGATGGCCTTATGCAGGTGGAAGATATTGTTCCGCGTTCTATGGCATGTCAGTGTCAGGTACCTGAACAATATGACTTTCTAGTTTGTCTTTCTTGTTTGAAAGTGGCATGCTCATGTTGTAGTATTCCGTATGTGGGTGAAGCATATATTCTGATGATGTTTTCACATTTTAAATGTGTAGTTTTCAGCCTTAATAATGGGAAGTGGACATTATTGATGATGAATCATGCTTTGTGCCTTTTTCGTGCATGAGAGAGTGGGGGCTTATCGTTAGTATTTAATTTCATCCTTTCATCCTGAAGGAATGCCATCTAAGTTTGAAAATTTTGGCACTAGAATGAAAAACTTAATGTAGACCATCCGGTTTGTGTTTGCTCAATTCCGACTGTTGTATGAATATGCACATGCATAGGTGTTGCCCTTTTCTGTTATTCTAACTGGAAAGCATTCGAACCCTCTTCATAAATGGTCCTTATTCATTTCAGGGGATTGTGAATGAACTTGAGGGTGTAAAATTTGCACTTGACCCATTGGAGAAGCAAGTTGGTGCTGATTTAATTGAACTGCTACATCAAGGGAGACAATGTAGCGACTCTAATGACGCCAGCGAGCTTGAGTGTTTTCACCAGTGCGCTATTAGACTTGGGATCACATCTTCGAGAGAAGCTCTTACAGAAAGAAGAGCTCTCAAGAAGCTCATTGAAAGAGCCAGGGCTGAGGAAGACAATCAGAAGGAATCAATAGTTGCATATCTTCTACACCTCATGAGGAAATATTCCAAGTTATTTAAAAATGAAATTTCTGATGACAATGATTCACAAGGTTCCGCTCCTTGTTCTCCCAGTACTCAGGGATCTGTTGAGTGCAGTGTTCCTAATAGTCAATGTCAGGCCCTTGAAAGAGAGATTTCAAAACGCTGTTCCATTAATTTAAATCCAATCAATAGGAGATCAGGTCAGATGCCTCTTCCACCTGAAGAGTTGAGGTGTCCAATATCTTTGCAACTTATGTGTGATCCCGTCATCATCGTTTCCGGTCAAACATATGAAAGGGTTTGTATAGAGAAATGGTTCAGAGATGGACACGATACTTGCCCCAAGACACAACAGAAACTCGATCATCTTTTGTTGATTCCGAATTACTGTGTTAAGGGTCTCGTTGTTAACTGGTGTGAACAGAATGGAGTCCCTGTTCCTGGTCGCCCTCCTGAATCTTTTGATATTAACTACTCGACCTTGGCTTTATCAGAGCCTGAATCAACAAATTCAAAAGCTGTAAATAGTTTGAGTTCATGCAAGTCGAATGGTGTCAAAGTGGTTCCTTTAGAAGAGAGCGGCGTCTCAGAAGAAGCCGGAGTAGATAAAAACGAAGCTTTGTCTGCACCGGAGGAAGATACCGAGCAGTATCTGAGGTTGCAGAAAGTTTTGCTTGAAAAGACAGATTACAAGACAAAGTGCAATGTGGTCGAACAGTTAAGGATATTACTGAGGGATAAGGAGGAAGCCAGGAATTATATGGGAGCTCATGGATTTGTTGAGGCACTTTTGCAGTTTCTAAAGTCAGCTCTGTCTGAAGGGAATCTGAAAGCTCAGGAAAGTGGAGCAATGGCTCTCTTCAACCTTGCTGTGAATAACAACAGGTGTACTATCTGTTCTACCCTTTGCATTTTCGTAACATTGAACGACACTAATTTTATTGTTATTACAAGATCAGGCCACATCAGGGATTTTGTAGTGCCTTCTATATATCCTTTATTATTGCCATACGAACTTAAACTATCACAAAAATATGGTTATACTGTAACTTATCACAACTTTCGTGATTGCTGTCTGGGCCTCTTTTTCTGATATTTGTTCAGCCGCCACTGCACTTTAGTAAAAGACATGACAATTGTTTGTGTAAATATTTACGCAATTTCACTACAGAACACTCGCAAAATGATTACTGTCCTGTTGTTATGTGACAGATTTGCTGATTTTTAGAAAACATTATTTATACTTCTTTTACACTGTAATTATTCCTTCAGTTTTCAGGCCAATGCTCCTTATTAGCATGTTTTATGAACAAAATAGTTGGACATTGTTTTTCAGTTGCAGGATGTGACTGAAGTTTCCAAAGATATGGAACATGATATTGTTGTAAGCCATGTTGGCGCTGTAAACTTAGGAAACGATTCTTCTCGGAAATTTTTAGGGAGCATCATTAACCACATATATTTTGAATAATTTATTTATTGTCTTTTTGAACAGAAATAAGGCAATTATGTTATCGGCAGGAGTGTTACCATTGCTGGAGGAAATTTCTAACTCAAGTTCATATGGTTGTGCAACGGCCCTCTATCTGAATCTCTCTTGCCTGGAAGAAGCCAAGACCAAGATAGGGAAGACTCAGGCTGTCCAGTTCCTGATCCGTCTCCTTCAAGATGACACCGAAATTCAATGCAAACAAGATTCTCTCCACTCACTCTATAATCTCTCCACTGTCCCTTCAAATATTCCAAACCTCCTTTCATCTGGGATCATCAATGGCCTTCTGTCCCTTCTTGCAGGCCAGGGTGATGATAATAGCATGTGGACAGAGAAATGCATTCCTGTTCTCATAAATTTGGCTGCTTCTAATTTGGGAAAAGAGGAAATAATCTCAACCCCAGGACTCATTAATGCAGTGGCTAAGAAACTAGAATCTAGTGAGCTCTTAGAGCAAGAACAAGCTGTGTCTTGTCTTTTAATCTTGTGTAATGGGAATGAGAAATGTAGCCACAAGGTCCTAAGAGAAGGTATAATACCTTCATTGGTTTTGATATCAGTAAATGGGACCCCAAGAGGGAAAGAAAAAGCTCAGAAACTTTTGATGCTCTTTAGAGAGCAGCGACGAGATCCTTCACCTGTTAAGATACGTTTGTGTCCCCCTGCTCCTGAACCTGATAATAAGAAGAATATGGTTGTTTCTCAGCCAGAAACAAAACCTCTGATGAGTAAGTCATTGTCTAGAAGAATAATTGAGAAGCCTTTTAGATTTTTCTCCAAAAGCAAGAGTTATTCTATTTATCACATTTAAGCTCCAATGGTTTGTAAAAAATCTTTGTATCTATATACTTCTCTTGTCTTGCTTCCGTCGCCCCCTCTATCTGATTTTTGCTGCTTACCATCAATTTTTGTGGGAAGCCACGAGATGTACAGGGCTATGTAGTTATGATTTTTTGTTTCTTCTCTTCCTCTGCTAATTTTTCATAAATTTTATCTTTTCTTCCCACAAAAAAAATGTGTTGGGTTATGCGCGTGTTTTCCATTTTTCTTTTTATATAAATATAAAATATGGGTTTGGATTATTTAATGTGTCACACTACTATTGCTGGCTGGTTGAGTCACCTGCTAATTATTTGTTATATTTTAACATAATTGTTGCTACTTCATATCCTTGATGTATAATACTTATATCAAGTTTTTTATATTTTATTATATCAAGTTCTTCAATTACGCATGAACATATGGTCTATTTTTAAAATATTAGCGTTTAATAGCATTTAATTATAAATTTATGTAAAACAAAAAAATAGATAAAGAATTTGACTTAAGTTTTTTTAACTGATTTGGGAAGATTAAAAAAGTTAAATAAGTTATTTTAAAATACTTATATTTATTGTTTTCTCTAAATTAATTTGCAATCTAATGACAGATATAATTTAGAGAGATTATGTAGCATAGTTTAGCTTTCTTAATTTTTTCAAATTAATCAACTGGGTTCTATATTTAGCACCGTAAGTAGTAATTGTTTCTAACTTAGATTTTCATTATTTTTAACTATAACTTTATTTTCAACAGATATTTGATAATTTCAAAATTAATGCCTTTGACTGTCATAATTCTTTTAGCAAGGTCCCAAAGTGCCATTTTTACTACCTAACGTGACTGCGTGAAAAATTGGCCAAGAAAAAAAAAATACTCTCTCTAGAGAGAAAATAATCATTCTCTACTCCATGTTGGGAAAATAAAAAAGTCTTCTAAACCATATTAATTAATATTAATTAACTTATGTTTTTTTAGTATAATTCGCAATATCTATAAGCCATTTAGACTTGAGGTTAATCTCTGTTGGACCGAGAGCGTTAAGGTTAAAACCTTTCAAACAAATGTACTTTTCAGGGTTTAAACTTGTGTTCTTCTCCTTAAGGGAACGAGACCACTTACCATCTTAGCCAACAGCTTGTTAGTTAATTAACTTAATTTTCAGAGTTAAAAAAAATCACTATTATACTGATTTTGAAAAATTATGCTTTTCCATGAATATATTTTTTCATGGCAAAAATGTACTATAAGTCATGGATAAAAATAGATATAAAACTGAGTAATTTGAAGGAAAAATGATGAAAAAGAACATAAAAATATGAAGTCTGAATAAGCTAACAATTAATAATGTCACAAAGGGAAGCTAAGGAAAATTGAAAGAAAAACAAAAACACTAAAATATCTTAAAAAATGCTAAAGAACAAATTAGGATGGATAAATTTTAAAATCCCAAATCAGGCCCTTTGTACTATTTTGGAATTTTAAAATATCGTGAAATGACAATATTATCCTTTACTCCTAATGACTACTTTTATGTAGCTATTGACTACTATAGTTTTCCTATTAATTATTTTTGTTTTCAAAGTTCTGATGACTATTGTATAGCCACTAACAACACAAGAATAGTAAATAACAAACCAAAAAGTAGTAACTAGATACCCAACAATACTTGATGCATTTTTGAATTTTTGAAATAAAAGTAGTCAATAGGAAAACTAGTGTGGTCGATAGCTAAACAAGAATAGTCACCAAATATTTGAAAATGAAAGTAGTCAATCGCAATATAAGAGTCGTTAGTAGCTAAACAAGAGTAGTCATTAAAATTCCAAAAACAAATATAATCAATAGCTAAAAAAAGTAGTCACTATATAAGAAATAGTAGTCGCCGAAGCTTCGGCAACCGGTTTTCAGAGTTCTGGTGACATGTTGCTAGAGCTCCGGTGGCTAACCATTGGTGGGGTCACTGGCATCAGAGCTTTGGTGGCTGAAAAACTAGTTAAGGGTGATGAGGTGACAATTTTAGAAGAGAAATAGTGAAGGGAGTTTGCGTAATTTTGCAAGATTTGAAAATTTCAAAATAGTACAAGGAGTTTGAATTAAAATTTTGAAATTCACCCATATTGATTTGTCATTGAGTAATTTTCAAGATATTTTATTGTTTTTTCCCAAAGCTAAAATGGGCATTCTGAAATTAAAGAAAATAACATAAATGCCCTTTATTTCACACAAAAAAAAGGGTTTTCCAAGACCTCACTGACAGTTGGCCACTACCAGAGCTTCTTGGTTTTGTTTTTCTTTTTTTTGGAAAGTGCATGGAGGTGGGATTTGATTCCACCAGTAGTGATTTCTACCAAAATAAGAATGACCATTGGACCACCAATACTTTACTACTACCTCTTATCATAATTATAAGACTTTATTTGTAGATTACACATGATGTTTTATAATTAGGACCGAATTAGAAGTAGTTTTAACATAATGCGAAAAAATTTATAATTTAACTACTTGGCTTTGTCAACTCAAAAAAAAAAAACTACTTAGCTTTGACTACCAGTCATTCACAACTTTTATGTAGGTATTAATTACTACCTCCGATTCTAATTATACCTCGTTTGTAAACTACAAATAAAGTCTTCTAATTAGAATCGGAGCTAATACATTTCAATAGTTAACTACTTCCATTTAGCAAATAACAAAGCCACTCTTTTAGGTCATTCGCAACTTTTTTTTTTTATAGGTATTGATCATATTTTAATAGGTATTAACAACTTTTGCTTAGCAAGTAGCAAAGCCACTCTTTCAAGTCATTCATATTTTTGTATAGGTATTGATTACATTTCAACAAGTAGTAACAACTTTGGAATATAAATTAACAATTCACAATTTTAACCTGAATACTTGAGAAAAATATAAATTCCTAAACTTCAGGCGGTAATAACAAATTTTCAATTCATTTTACTAATTTCATAATAGAAATTAACAAAAGGGTATTTCTGCCATTTTGCTTCAATTTCAAAATATCCATTTGAGTTTTCCTTCCCTTACAACAAAAGGGCATTTCTGTCATTTTTGCTAATTTGAAACCCGTTATTGCACTCCAGGTTTCTCTTTCATTGCTAGTACATAACTACATACTTATCACATATACCCACAAAAAGAAAAACATGACCTATTCATTCATCGCCATTCAACTTAAAAATTGCATAACCCCTTTTTTAGTCGGAGAAGAGGGTAGGGGAGGAGATTCTAATTAGTTGGAATAGAAAAAAAAAACAAGAAGAAGGGATAAACGGAGTTTAAAATTTTAATAAAGAAATGTAAATTAAAAAAATATTTAAAAAAACTTTAATCTCACTTTCCTATTTTCTTTGAAATCAAACTCATTACGATTTCTCCTCCATTCCCTTCCGTTCTCTCCATATCCTTCCAACCAAAGAGATAAAGAAGCAAGCTCATATCTTCGTAACATGAAGGTGTAACTAAGGTTTCAAAAATCGGATCAGTCATGTAATTAAGGCTATGGTTCAAGGGGTCAACAGTAGGACGTTGTCAAACCAGTCATGATCAATTTAATATATAATAAATAATGTATACATAAAAATTATAAAGCAAATTTATCCATAATTGCAAAACTAATTGTACATGCATACTTTTGTCCACATCCCATAACATAACATTCATCATCAATATATTTCACATGTCTTGTTGTTAGTGCCGTATAAAATATTCATCCACACGACTTTCATTAGTTTGTAATGCAACCATCATAAAATATTGTGAACCAAAAAAAAAGGTAATGGAGTGAAAGACTGTGTTAATTAAACAATAATAGCATGGCAATCAGTTCAAATTAAAAATAATGGACTTGAAGTTTTTTGCAGCATTAGACAATGAGCATTGTTTGAACAGAAATAGCTTGTAATTTTATTGAAGGAAAAATTTTCTTACAAAGCCAACTACACACGCCATATTTTAATTCGGGTCAGCAAACTCATGAGATTTTTAATAAGATCATATGACTCAAAGAAAATTTTAGAAATTTGGTCAAAATACATCAATGCCCCTGGGTTTAGTCAAGATTTATTGCAAATGTATTGTAGAGAAAAGAAAGTTATTAATTTAAAATTGAAACTTGTGAACTGTATAATGGAACTTGTTAATTCTAAAGGTTGTCTTGTGCTCAGGCTTTTTTTCAAGATTTTGTCGAAAATGTTCTATGGAGAAAGGGAAGTTGTTAATTTGGAACCGTGATTTAACTTGTGAATTTTAAAGGCTATATCGTGCTTAAATTTTAGTCAAGATATATTGCAAATGCATTGTGGTGAAACAAAAGTTGTTAATTTGGAATTGTAACTTGTGAGTTGCGCAATGGAACTTGTTAACTTTTAATGCTGTATTATGATTAATGAAGTTTTAGTCAATATTTAATGCAATGTATTGTGTTGAAAAGGAAGTTGTTAGTTTGGAATTGAAACTTGTGAACTACCTAATGAACTTGTTAATTTTAAAGGTTGTGTTGTGCTTTACCAAGTTCTTGCTCTGTTTTTGTTAATTTTATGATTGCTAGGAGAGAAGGGAAGTTTGTTGGGTTTAGGGTTTTTTCAGGTTGCTTTGACCCTGATACACGAAGGATTTTACTTGCTTTCTCTTTTAAGTTTTAATCACACAGGGCCATTATTCTTTTCATTTCACTAAATTTTAAAATTCCTAATTAATTGAGTCACTCAACCTGATTAGAGATTTCATAAATTTAGTAACCCAAATTTTAATTTGGATCATTCAGTTAGCTTTTTAAGGAATTTTCTCTTGATTTTAAAGTTGGCTGTTTCTGATTTATGCTATAATTAGTTAGTCTGGCTATTATTGTAAATAAGAAAGTTGAAAAACAACAACATGCGTACACGAAAAAAAAAAAAAAATTGAACTGCTTACACAAGTTGTACCTTGTAAGCATCAACTCGTGTGGAAGGTTTTGTTAGTAATTTATTACCTTTAGTACTTAATATAAGAGTTAGATAATAAATTTAAAAATATTAAAAAAAATTAAATTAATTACTTATAATAAATATACGTTGACTTTCCTAAACTATCTAATTCAATTATATTTATTGGAATTACCCTTTGGTGGGAACTTTTTAT